TGCTGCCTGCTTGCTTGCCTGCTGAGTGGTTCAGTCTCTTATTTTCCTGGGAAAGCACTAATTACCACATGGCTCCCTGGGGGGCTGGCGAATGATCTGTCAACCCCCACCCCAACACACACACACCTGGGAGCACTGTTGCCATCTCTGAGAAGGTACTGTCCTGACCTTGGCCTTCCCCCAAGAAGACAGAATCCAGAGGGCCGCAACAAAGTGACCATCAACAGGGAACCTGGGGCTGGGCTCACAAACCAAACCATTCCTATCTTAGGTCACAGTGTGGTCTCCAGACCAGCCGCATCAGCTTCCTGGGGCCCTTGCTAAAACTGCAGATTCTCAGACTTTACCCTGACACCTACTGAATTTGGGGTGGGGTTTTGGAACCTATGTTTAACAATCTTTCTAGGGGATCTGAAGTTCACCCACACTGGAAAATCACAGATGTGGAGGGCTGCGGCTGAAGAGGTGGTTAAGTGTGGTGGCTGCAGCACAGGCTGGCAAAGAGATACCTGCCTTTGAATGTGGGCTCTAGTGACCCCTCACTTGGTGAGCTGGGACAGGTCACTTTATAAATTTAATAATACTAATTTACATCCTACTGTTTAGTGTTGAAAGTCCCGAGGCTGCAGTTCCAGGGAAAACAATAGTAATATGAACTCATTTAACCCTTACAAGAAACATTTTGGGCAGGGCCCTATCATTGCCCCAATCAACACAAACGAGGAGATCATGATGGTAACTTGCTCCGTGGCTAATCTCAGCATGCTAAACTTTAGGTCTTTCCCCAGAGACAACCACTGAGCCTCTGGGCTGAGCCAGCCTGTAGGGAGGTGGATGAAACGCAATAAGGCTCACAACAGTGACATACAACAGCGCATGCTGCAAAGGTAAAATAAAATTGGGGGAGGGGTGGCATGACCAACAGGGGTCTCTGGCAAGACCACGCTGGGAGAGGCCTAGTAGAAGGGGTAGTTTCAACTTTTGCCTTTCTCTGCTGTAAAATGAAGCAGTTACCAGCACCCCTACCATGTGTGGCATGACTATATCACAAGAACAAAGACTGAAAAGCATAGTAGATGCTAAACAAATATTATTATTATTATTATTATTAATTATTATTATTGAGAGCACCTAACAGCTGTGTGTCCTAGGTAAGTTATGACACCTCTCTGAACTTCCGTTTCCACATCTATAAAATAGGAATGACAGCAGCCATCCCCAGAAAGGGACTGCCGTGAGGTACCAAGTGGCCCACCTGAGGGTCAAAAAGCACATGGGAACTAGTCTCTCACATCACTCCCTGCTTCTAGCCCACTCAGCAGCTTCTCTCCAGTACAGCTGGCCCATGCTCCAAGCTGCCCAGGGGTGTGTGATACTTATTTTTAATTGTTCTGGCTTCAGAGTTGAGGCCTCTAACTCTAAATGGCTCCTCTTGCCCTGCAAAAATAGGTCGTTGGCAGCTCGATCCTCCTGACAGGTTCCATACAAAGGCAGCCAGGCCTGGCCTGCTGATGCCAGCCCAGGGCTATGGGAACCATGGGCAAGGCTGGATCAGCAGTGCTGAGTCTCTGCAGGCCTCAGCATGCTTGGCAGAATGGCCCTGGTCAAGTCAGTGTCTGTCTGGCTTTGCTCCTTTCATCTAGAAACACAAAGGGGTGGGCCTCAAGGAGAGAACATGGATTTTAGGACCTGGCACACACTGGGATGCTTTTGTCACTCTTACAGAGGCCAAAAACTCCTGAGATCACATTCACATCCTAGCCACTAGAAGCCACTCATATTGTCTTTGTTAGTCCTTTTTCATAGACTGAGGAAAAAAAAAAAAAAAAAAAAAAAGCCCTGGTTGCTTAAGTCAAATCACTTGTGTCTTAGCTTTGAAATCCCCCAGATTCTTCCCTCCTCCTGCTCCTGCTCATTCAAGTCTCCTCTCTAGCACTCCCCCCAACCTACACACACACACACACACACACACACACACACACACACACACACACACACACACACACGAGGCTGCATGATAAAGATTTAATCACACCCCCCGTATTCTTCCCTGGAGTACCGATGCCCATTTGATATGTGAAGCATTATAGGTTAATCTGTCCCCTCCTTGAGCACAGATTTGTGCCTGGTTTGTTCCTCTCAGCTGCCACATCTCTATCACCCAGTGCTCTGTCAAACACATAGTAGACCCTTAATGCACATGGTAAGTGCATGAACGAATAATATCCGAATTAAAGCACCCAGACCGGCTGCTATGATGGCTGGCTCATATCAATTATCTGTCATAATCTGTGTGACCCCAGGCAAGCTGTACCTTGCCCATTTAGTTTACACATTTGCCCACAAATCCCAGGGGACTCACAGTAACTGATGGGTGAGCAAAGTGACTTTTATATGGACAAATGTCAACTCCCCCACGCTTGGATGTGAGAGTGAAGAGGGTAGTTTGGAAGCTGTGCTGAGCGCCTTTGCCAAAGATGCTATATATAAATAGCAGGTGGTACAATGCTTATTCTCCCTAATCCCACAGTGGCTAATCCCAGGCAGCTCTGTGTCTAGGAGTGTGTGCCTGCCCCAGAACTAGGAGCAGCACATGGCAGGAGGCTCCGTCATCTCTGACTACAGTAGTAGGCCCTACCCCCTCCTACCCCAGGATTTTGGAGGAGAATTTTCACCAGGCTTCACTGGATACCTTCATGGTCCTGCCAGACATAATCTAAAGAGCTGGAGACTCACTGTAGCCTATCTCGGATGCTAGAACCAGGCTATCTTTCTCGCCTAATCCCCTGACTCCACACTCTTCTCCCTCCAGTCCTGTGTATTCCATGTAAATCAAACATGGTAGTCCCTATCTGATCCTGCCTGCAGTGGTTCCCATCCACAGAATTAATTTTCTTTGTCTTCTGGACTACTCTCCAGAAGTATGGCTTCTACACACTGTCGTCCTTAGCTAAATGAGCTGACACCCATGTGCGTGTGTGCACATACCTCCTTACCAGACTTTCGGCTTGCACATACCTGCACCTTCTAGTAGACTATAGGTGGGTTCTTGTTATAATCCCCTAGGCCCAAAGAAATACAACTAATATTTCTGCTAGGGCTGCCCTGTGGTCCCTCAAGGACCTGCTGCCAAACACTTCTCAAACACAGTTCTTGCCCTTGGTACATGGTGAGCTCTTCTTAAAACGCAGTGCAAATATCAACTCATGTAACCCTCCCAATGGCAGTTCTGGGTCGCTGCTCATGTTGGCCTGGCTGCTTAAAAGGAAGCCAGGGCACAGAAACAAGGTCTTTCTCCTAGTCTGCAGCTTCTAAGATCTAAGCGTTGGATGCTGGTCCCTATGTCTAACAGCTGCACGCTGCTTGCCTCTCTGGAAGAAAAAAAAAAACAAAAAAACAAAAACAAAACAAAAAACCAGAACCAGGCTTTTGGCCAGAGGTGCAGAGGACAGAGGGGTGACATTGCATAAGGGACTTTCTACCTGAGGCCTGGCCTTAGGCAATCACCCTCCTGGTCTCTGAGCCTCAACATCCTCTTTATTAAGAGACCGAGACAGCAGGGCCTGCTTTGCTTCATTACTTCATTATGTCCCTCAACTGCCATCATGGGAAGCAAAATTGGCTATCTCTGAACTTACTTCAACTCAAACTCTCCAATTAGTGGAGGGTCTTGATTCCTCTTCTCTGCTTTGGTGCGCAGGCAGCCTTCTGCAGATGACCAAGCACTTGATCTGAGTGCTTCTAGCGTTCCCTCAGGAAACCCCGGAGCTAGGGTGCATTTTGAATCCAGAGGCTCTGTCCTTTGGGGTTAGCTCTCCTTTCTCTGTCTGGCTCATTAGGGTCATCATTTTGCAGCAGGCCTCTCTCAGCACAGTTCTGTCTGTGCCCTCTCTAACCTCAATCTACTCTCCCTGCTGAGAAGGCCTCTGGTCAGTCTCCTCCCCAAGGCCCAACCCTACCCTTCCCCTTTCCCTGCCACAGCTTTCGTGCTACTCTTCTCCCCCAGTGCGTCTTTACCAAGAGGCACTGAAGTCCTTCCTACACACACGCTATTTTTGTACCATCACTCTCTCCTTCCTCTCCCCCCTTCCCCCTGCATTCACTTCCTGCTTTTGCTTTACCTCGGGCCAGCTTGGAAAGATTTGGGCCCCTAAGACCCACACCCACCCGGAGGCAGACCTTCTGCTTTGGGATACATGAACAGGGCCTCTTGGGGAGGGGCAGAAAGCAAGCCTCCCCGCCTCCTCCATTCTCTATCCTGGGCCAGCGCGCCGCGGGCAGCCTCTTGCCCACTGGAGGCGAGGACTGGCCAGGGTGAGAGGCCGA